AAAAAGTGAATTTAATAAGTCTAATTTTTAACCATTTGTGAATACACTTATAGAATATCAAGCATACCTACCAAAAAAGTGGAGGGGATGGAGCAGTTTTAAGTAATGTTGTGGTTAATTGTTGCTTCAAATAACAGGTTCCCTGAATACTAGTTCCTGAAGCAATAGTAGTTTTTATTTCAAGACCAAAAGCTTAGAGATATGGGGTTGCATGTTTGGTTAAGTAGTTCAACAACGTTAAAATAGGTGTCTGCTCTTTTTATCTTTCTGGTCTGCTAACTTCACTGTGTTGACAGCATCTTTTCTCATAGTTGCAAGATAGCTGCTGTGGCTCCAACCATCAATCACATCCTCACCAAAAACATCCCAAAAGGAAGGCAGGGTGAGTGCCAAAGGGACCTCTTCATTGGCTGGGTTAGAGCCCAAAAGCCTTGTACAAATTGGAAAAAAAGCATAACGAACCCCTTGGACTCAGATCAAGTTTGTTTTTTTCTCCTATTTCCTCCAGAAGCAGCTAATAAACAGTACAAAAGATATTGATATGGATGTAAAATGTGGGTGGGTGGAGATGCCATATTTCCCCATGTATAAAATGCACCCTTTTTCAAAAAATTTGGGGTCTAAAAACTGGGTGCGTCTTACACAATGGTTGTATGAGCGCAAAAACAAGCATGAAAAAAGTGGGAAATGCAAGTTAAAAAAATCCATAACCAAAAAAAAAAAAATCCATAACAACTGTATAAGATGCACCCAGTTTTTAGATCCCAAATTTTTCGAAAAAGGGTGTGTCTTATACATGGGGAAATACGGTAGTTTCCCATTACCTCCTTTGCACCTCACAGAAGGAATCCTGAAGTTGTCATCTTGGCAGGTCATGTAGAGTGACACATCTGACCAGTGAAAGGAGAACACTATTTAGGGTCCACTGTACTTTATAACCCCAGCCACTTCAGTGCACAACTTAAAATGCTGCTAGGACAATAAGTCCGCTACTCAGTCCACCATGGCACCTGGATCTAATGACGAAGTTTGGAGCCTTGAAAGTTTTGCAGGGCCTTCACTGAGACAATCCTTCCTCTCTGTAGAGGATAGTTCACCCTTTAAGTCTAGGGCTCAGCTCTGGATGCTTAACAGCAGCTGAGGTGGGAAAAAGAGAGTGAGGACTTTGGACACAAGAAACAACACGTGCAGAGGGATGTTGGTGTGACACAGTGTGGTCTATTTGGGGTGCTGCCAGTGACCTGGAGACTAGAGTGCAGGACCTGAGAAGGGAGTCGGTGAAGGTGAGATTGCAGAGGGAGCCAGGATCCAACGACATGCACCAGGATTCATGGAGGCAGACATGTGCCTCATGAGAGTCTAGAGGAGGGGTAACTGGGCCCAGAAGGGCTTCCAGGAGTCTTGGATGTGAGTCTAGTACAGACACGATGTTCGGCCAGGACCCAGGGCTATGGCTGTACAGACTAGTAGGTCCACGCCATCTCAGTTATTAAATACTGTGAACATTGCCTCTGCTCTGTTAGTGAGGGATCCCCTGGCCGCGAGGGAGCACGGGCTTTCCAGGGAGAGCTGATGCAAAGGCAATCAGGGACGAGTGGGAGGGAAGCACAATGGGAACCTGAGGCCAGGGCGGTGGCGGGCCCAACCCAAAGGCTTTCGGTGGCAGGCAAAGACTGTCCCACTCATCCTGTAGACGTCAGAAAGCCAGCAAGGGGTAGACCCAACCCCTCCAGCTCAATGGTGCACTGGTACAAGAGCCCTGACTCAGCCCTCTGACCCAGGACCCTGTCACCTCGTAGAGGCAGGGCACTTGAGAATGGAGAAGCCTGATGGTGAGACCAAGACTTGACAGAAATAATTGTCATTTTATTTCTTTTTTAAAAAAGAGAGAAGGTGGGGGAAGAAGGAAATGAAGAAAGCAAAGGGAGGAAGGGAAGAAGGGAGTAAGAGAGGGAGCAAAGAAAGAAAAGGAGAAAGGGAAAAGTAGAAACCAATGTGGAAAAAGGACAAGATTTGGCAAGGCTGAATAGTGGGTGCAGAGGTTTTTACTTATCACTGTGGCTATTGATTTGTTATATGCTTTTCCACTTTGCTTGACATATTTCATTTTTTAAAAAATGAACATGGTTAGGTGGAAATGTAAATAGATATGATCTTTTCAAAAAATATTTAATGTAAGATATCAAAAGATCCCAAAATGCTCATTTTTGACCCAATAATTTCATGCCAGGACATGCATAGATTTATATACAAGAAATCTATTTTCAATGCCTCAAGTATAGTGACCCTGGTTGGAGTGTGCTAAATTAGCTTCCCAAATAAACAAAGTGAGCTATTTTAGTGGAAGCCTTCTCCAGTACATTGTATCTGTCCTGGTAAGATGCACAGAGTATTCTAAAACATAATGAACCTTTTCTCAATGATTTCCTTATTAATACAATTAACAAAGTACACATTAATAGATTCATTGATTCAAGAAGCTGTTGAAGTGTGGGGGGCTTTTTGTGTCCCCCCCCCCAAACACACTATTTTCCTGGACAGCTAGTTTCCTCTGCCTCTTATAGTTCTTCTTTCCTTTTCCTTTGCAGTTGGCTGTCATTTTTCATTACTCTTTACCTCAACTTTCATTAGAAATCACCCGTCTAATCAGAATAAAACAAGACAAAACCAGATAACCAAGTTTGTATATATGGCGTCTAAAGTAAGTTATGTCTGAACAAAGGCCTGGAGTTATGCCTCCAGCCACCTGGGGAACTTGCTAAAAATGCTCTTTCCTGGGTCCCACCTCAAGCCCTCCTAATAAGAATCTCTGAACCTTGCAAGCACTTCAGATAATTCTTACAAATGTAAATATTTGAGAATCACTTGCTTGTGGATTCACCTATGAAAAAATGTCCATGAACTCAAGGCCATCTAGCACCAACAGGGTGTCTCCCCAGTGGGGCTGCTGACTCAGGCTGGAGCTGGTCGGGGGTTGGCCCTGATGGCTTGGTTCCTGTGCCATGCCCAGTGCTAAATATTCTGAATAGCAGTGGGCTTAGTGACTTGTTTTTTGAACTTGGATCACCTGGGTGGGTGGAGGGTTAGATGAGGAGAGACTTACTTCCTGGGCCTATCTTTAGGTTACCTGAGATTTCTCATGAGTGGTCCTTGGATAATCGACATCTACCTGGTCTTATGACCTGGAAAAAATAGGGTAATAGTTATGCATATTTTCCAAATATGAGACTGTCTGCACAAACTGATTGACTTTTAAAAATTAAAATCATGCTGACCATTTACCAGAGATAAATTGGCCACACCATCTTATTATGATATTCCTCTTGGACTAAACATTTAAAGTTTATATTATGTTCAACTAAAATACATTTCAATATATTTAGTACACATTTTAATTATTCTATCAAAATGATTACTTTGCTCACACTCATGTTTTATATGTTCATAAAAGTTTTAAAGCAGTATATATGTCTATAGCTTCTTCCCCTTAAAGAGATTTGCAGATTTTTACCTTGCATTTTAAGTTGACAAGCCTCCAAATATCTTAGATATGCTGATGATCAACTAAACAACATGCACTAAAAAGATAATAGAACATGAGTACCATGCTTAGACACCTTTAGTACCAGCAACAGTATTAGTATTAATAGTACTAATACACAGAGCCTCACACAACATAACATAGATAACAAACAAAAAAACACTACTCCAGAGTGAAAATACTGGTATATTTGTACAATGCAAAGAGAAATACAGATATAAATCCTCAAAACAGAAGGTACATTAATAAAAATGTAGCATTATAAGGAAAAATGATACAGTACTTGCAGAATTTAGTCTTCAATTTGATTACCATGTATCTAACAAAGAAACATTATTTAAAATTACAGTTCTCATTATTAATTTAAAATAACCATCAGTAGAATAGCACAGCTTAACCTAGCAAACATTTTAAGGAAACACTTTGTCTCCTAGAAGTAGAGTATCATTATATGCCATTCATTTATACCATGAACAAAAGAAGAACAATTTTCAAAGTGGAAATTAGTTTCATAAGACAGAATAAAACTGGGCTCCTCAAAGCACAAGCTGCTTCCATAAAATTATTTTAATTTTTATCGGCAAAAAATAGCTAAACAATTTTGATTTAGTACTCTGCTTCTCAGAGCCTCCCAATCCGTGAACCGCAATCAGTACATACAAAAACATGCAATACTGTTTTTTCTCCACACCATTACTAACCCAAACACTTTTTAACTCTTTTAAAAGTTACAATTGTACAGAAATGTTTCCAGTCGAGATTGGTGTACTGCAGACAGCAGGTGTTGCTGAGTATCATCTAGTAAAGTAACATAGGAAACAAGTCTTGTTACTGCTTAAAAAACTACTGCCTTGCTAGTCACTCCCATAGCTGCTCTTTAAATTCAGTATCAATACTGAACAAAGTTCTCAGTACTTTCAAAGAACCACAGCAACACAGCTGACCCCATGGCTGCCAATTCAGAGGGAACTTAAGACAATTCCTGCCCCCCCAACCCCCTCCAACAGAAGACCCTCAAGAAATTGAACTTGTGAAGACCTCCTAGGTTCCTCTACTTCACTGCAAAATGTAATGCCACTTGAGGTTGTCAAAAATAGCTTCTGTAGAAAACTGGCGGTGGTCTTTAGGAAACGTTGCATGAGTGAAATTAGTTTAACCTTTTATTAAAAAAAAAAGTAATAACATGGAATAAAAGACATCCGTATCAATACAAAGACTCCAGGCCTATTTTCAGGGTGAAAATATATTTGGGAGGACAATGAGCGGAGCTGGGGTGGCGCTGGAACATCGACACCCACCCCTCCCCACTAAAAGCAATCTGTACAATCCAAGTGCTTATCCACTTGGTCACTTTGAAGGCAGCTTAGACAATTTAAAAGGGGGTAGAGGGGGAAAAACGAAGTCACTGTCCAAGCCAAAGGGGAAGGCTGAGCTGGGGTGTAGGTGGCCGGAGAGCCCCTTATAAACCGATGCCTTTCAAGTCGCAGGGGAGGGTGGCTTGGGTAGTCTGGGGGCTTTGGCAGCAGGGGAACTGGGCCCTGAAGCAGTCCCTCAGCTCCCTGTTGAAGAGGAAGCACACGACTGGGTTGATGCCGGCCTGCGCGAAGGTCAGCCACACGGAGGCCGTCAGGTAGGCCTGGGGGACGGCGCCGGGCCGCACCAAGACCCGCAGGTAGCTGGCCACGACGTACGGCCCCCAGAGCAGCAGGAAGAGCAGCGTGATGGCGTAGAACATCTTGCACAGCCTCTTCTCCGTCTTGAACTCCTCCAGCACGAGGAGGCGGCGCGCGCCGCGGCCGGGCCCCGCAGGCCGGATGCCCACGAGCGCCGGCGGCGTGGGCCCGCGGCCGAAGCCCGCCGTCCAGTTGGCGGCCGCCTGGCCCGTGGCGCCTGGGCCGTGGAAAGTCCAGTCGTGGCTGACGGCGGGCACGAGGCGCGCGGGCCTCATCTTGCGGCGGTCGTGGATGAAGAACAGCAGGCGGAGGTAGACGAGGTGCGTGGCGCCCACGACCACGGCCAGCAGCAGCAGGAAGCCGAGCGCGCCGGGGGCGCCGTCGGGCCGCTGCTCCAGGGCGCACGGGGCGTCCTCGTCGTCGCCGCCGCCGTCCAGCACGGGCGGGAAGGCCGCGGCCAGCGCCAGCGCCCAGGCGGCGCACACCAGCATGGCGGCGCACGGCCAGCCGGCCAGGCGCTCGGCGTAGAAGCGGTGGTGCGCGATGGCCAGGTAGCGAGTAACGCCCACGCCGAGCAGCAGGAAGGCGGCGTGGAAGCAGAAGAGCGCTGCCAGGAAGGCCAGCAGCTTGCAGCCCAGGGCGCCCGGCGGCGTCCCCGCCGCGGCCGCCGCGCGCCGCGCCGCCAGCATGACGGCCGGGAGGCAGGCGAGCGCGCGCAGCCCGTCGGCCAGGCACAGGTCGAGCAGCAGGTAGTACGGGGCGCGGTGCAGGCTGCGCTCCCGCACGATCAGCAGCGCGAACAGCACGTTGCCGGCCAGGCTCACGCAGAGCAGCAGGCTGAGCGTGGCCAGCTTGAGGCCCAGCGCGGCCGCCTCGCCGCCGCCGCCGCCGCCGCCGCCGGCGCCGCTGCCGAGGAGCCCCCTCCCCTCCGCCGGAGCGCGCAGCGCGGCCGCCTCCCGGGCCGGGCCGGGCTGGGCTGGGGCGCCGCCGCGGCAGCTGCGGGGCTGGGAGGCGGCCGGGAGGGATGCAGGGCCCAGGACGCGAGGTGGTGACAAGCCGCGTTTGGCCCCAGGTAACGGGGGTCCGGCGGCGGCGCCCGGCGCCCGCGCTGGGGTCACGATGGCCGTACGCTGGGGGGGAGGGGAGGAAGGCGGGTTGCTTGGGATAGCAGGGTCGGGAGGCCTCCGGGGACAGGAATATCTGGGATGAGCCTTCTGCCCGGAAGCTAATAATAATGAACAGTAGTAATCACCATCGTCACAACCCTGTGACCGCTCATGCTCAGGTGAGCGCTGATGGGTGGCAGTGTCCTGGGGGCTTTACAAGCGTTATCTCGCTCAACGTTCACAATAACTGCGAAGTTGGTTCTAATCTTAATCCAGTTTGTACCTGAGGAAGCAGAGGCTTGCAGGTCAGGGGAGTTGAGAGCCGGTAAACGGTGGAGCTGGGATTCACATCTCTCCAGGTCTGATTTCCAGGGCTGGGTTCACGGCAACTGTACAGCAGGCCCTGATCCCCGCCTCACCGTGGTCCCAGGAAAGACATATGTCAGGGAAAAGAAATTCAGCATTTTCTCTTAAGTGTCTTGGAAGGTGAACCCCATGACACCTTCTTCCCAGGGTGTCTATTTTCTGGGTAAGCCTGAAAGGGCAGCCCCTGTTTCTGAGCCTCAGACACACTAAGTTCTCTTAAGTCCCTGCACCTGCGGTTCCCCCTGCCTGGCCCAGCCTCACAGCAGGCTCCCCATCCTTTGGGCCATCCTACTGACCATCCGTCTATCTTACTCTCTATCACTGTCCATTCATTTCCTTCCCAGCGCTTTTTATCATTACATATTTTAATTTCTTTTAAAAATCTTATTCTTCCAACTAGTCTCTAAGCTGCATGTAGGCAAGGGACCATGTCTGTTTTTTTGTACCACTATCCCAAGTGCCTAGCACAGAAAAGCCAAAATTAAGGAATATGTTGTTTCCAGGTACATTCACTTTTTTTCTCTCATGCAGAACATTATTTATTTCCTACCTACTATGTGCATGGAGGACATTTCGGTGGGCATTTCCAGGGCAACACAAATCATAGAAAGCCTGAATCATCAGGAATGTAAACTTGAGTCTGGAGGCAGTGAGGAGGACCTGAAGATTTTGGAGGAGAATGACATGATGAGAGCTGTTCAGCAAGATTGTTTTGGCAGTAGCATTTAAGAGGAATCACAGCAGAGCCTGGAAGTGTAGCCTAGAGCCTCAGACTTCAGTGTGCGTGGAAATCAGTGGGGATGCTGTGAAAATGCAGATTCTGATTCAGTAATCTGGAACGAAGGCAAAGATTCTGCATTTTTAGTAAGTTCCTAGGTGACACAAATGGTGGTGGTCCACAGATCACACTTTGAGCAAGGACCTGGAAGACAGTGTACCCCTAAGTGGCCAGGGGCAAGTGGCTGACCAGACAGGTTTGCAAGTGTTTATTGACAGAAAAGAGGGTATTTTGGTTATGAATAATTTTGATAATAGTAACTGAAAATGTACCTAAGTTTATTTTCCTCATGAAATAAGAAGCCTGGATGTCAGTGATTGCCAATAATGAATTATTGGCTCAAGACTGAGTCTCTGAAAGTCTTTAAGCCCTTCCCTCATGATCAATAGGCTGCTGACACCTCAGCCGTTGCTTATGCATTCCAGGCAGAAAGAAGGAAATGAAGAGCAAAAGTGTTCCTTCCAGCCAAGTAGGTCCCTTTGAAGGGCTTTTTTTTTTCTTTTCCTGAGGGGCTTTTAAGAAGTCCTACATTATAACAAGCAGTTATATGTCATTGGCCACCACTATCAGGAAAGGGAGGTTGGAAAATGGTTTCTTCTTTAAAAAAAACCAGACATGTAGCAATAGCGAGTGAGACCCTGCCTTGATGTGGACTATTTCTGCCCAGGGAAGGGATGCCATCTAATGACCCACACAAAGACCCCAACTCCGGTTCCTGTGTGATAATGTTGATGGCACCCACCAGTCACTGCGCCCTTCCTGTGTGCTACACTGTGCTGGATCCCTGACGTGTTATCTCATTTCATCATTGTAAGGGCCATCTGTAGGAGGTACTGTTACAGTCGCCATTTTACAGATGGGACACATAGGTTAAGTAATTTGTTCAGGCTTTCACTTCACCACAAGTAAATGTGAGAACTGGGATTGCAAGGCAGAAAGTCTGGCCCTAGAGCCCACACTCATAATTACCATACATAGTGCCTCTCTTTCATAACTGCAAAAATTTACTGAGTTTCTAAAAACAGCACACAAACAAAAATTACTGATGTTTATGTTCACAGAATTATAATCCCTTCAGAGAGGGAAGGATTTTCAAAAACCGTCTAATCTAACACTTTTATAAACAGCGCGATTCATTAATTGCTGAGTGGGAAGTAGAAGTCAAGTTTTGCCACTCTGAGGTCAGTACCCTTCCCACTTAGTTGAAATAATATTATTCTAATGAACACATGACATTGGACAAGTCAACCACTTGGAATCTGAAATGTTCCCATTTACAAAATGGGACATTGGACCAAATGATTTCTGAGTGTCCTCAGCTCTGACGTTCAGATTGTATATGAGAAAATGTAAGTTAGATGGTTCTATAACCCCATATGGGGAGAGATTTATTCTTTAGACAAGGACACAGAGAAGAGATGGTGGGCCCTTATAATTGAACCTTCTCTGTGCTTTCTACTTCTCTCTACGGCTCAATATGTTTCTCTTTGGTATTTGAGATTTGGTTTGGTCGTTTACCCGGTATCAAATAGCAGAAGTAGCAACAGAAAATGTATAAATCATGGCTCTCAGAGCATTTATATGCCTACTTCTTTTATGCTCAACATTTGTTCAGTAGATTAGTACTTAAGGAAAAACTATTAACATTTATTTCATTGCCAGAATCAACTTATTTTCCTTTTATTGTTTCTAGGAAGCTTCAGACAAGAATTTAAACAGTTTCTTAGGCTCCAAGTTAAGCGCTTGCACCTCAAAGCAAAACAGCTCTGAGATTTTTCCCTATAAGAAAAATTTCCACTTTGCTTATAACCAAATTCTTCCTTTTGCATGTAGATAGAAAAGTTGCGATTTCCCCCCGAAACAGACATGTCACTTCTTTGCTGAACATATAGAGTGTGAGAATGGTAACAAAAATCCAGACTATTCAGAGGAACTGAATGACACACCTTGACAGATACAGCAAGGCTGTGAGTCCCAGCATGGTGGGAGCCAGTGTGGCCGATGTCTCTTGGCCAGTCATCTGCCAATGCACACAAAGTTAGAGAAGGTTGGTTTGACTTAACCCCATCCCAGCTCTCAGAAAACATGAGCCACAGTCTGTGTCAAGTGGATGCCGGGTTATCAAAGGACAGCACTTGGACTGGCCTCTCATGGGAGGGAACCATTCCTTCAGGAATGAAAATGGACTTGGAATCACGTGTACCTTGGTTCATAACCAAGTCCCACCAATTACTAGTGTGCATCCTTAGCCAAGTCCCATGCCTCCTCTGAGCCTCTGAACCTCAAAGGCCTGTTGTGAGGAAGACTTCATTAAATATGACCCATGTACAGAGTGTGGCACAGGTGTGCACACAATGGTGTGTAATAAACGGCAGCAACAGTTACTCACATTTGCTCTTACCAGACTATAAATGCCTTGGCTGACCATGTCTTGATTGACTTTTATATTTCTCTCCCCAAATTAGCCTATCAGGAGGTCCTATACATAGTGGGTTCTCAATATTTGTGTGGCAGGTGTGAGTGTCAGTCCATAAAATGAAGCATGCAAGAAATATAACTGCTTTCTACAAACCCAGTTTCTCGCTCTGAGTTACCATTTTGTCTTGCTGGTGAGGGAAAAAAATGTGACCCTAGTGCTTCTTGGGTTTCATCATGGCCCCTTGCCTCTTCAAGACGTGACATAATTCCAGGGTATTGCCTAGACTGCACAGTACACAGTCATTCAAGACATGCCTGTATGTGTGTGTCGGGGGGTGGGTATCCCATCTAATATTTGGTCAGTTCTTACCATAGTATTCCTGTCCTTACAAGCCATTGTGGTTTAGTGATCCTTGGTTGTCTTGTGCCAGACTTAGGGTTGAGAATTGGGGCTGAAGATGTGTATGATACAGATACATCCACAGCCATTCCTCTCAGCAGTATGTCTGGGAAATGGGGTGCAAATCCCTTATCTCTCGGTACCCTTTTTTTCTTCTTCTGCCTTCTGTTCTGAGGACTCCCTAACTACTCAGGTAGAGGGGAAAACCAGTTCTTCCTTGTTTTTCTGGACAATATAATTGGCCAGTTCCCCTGGTCCTAGAATTTAGGTGTTTGGGAAAACAAAAGCCAGACAGCTACCTTACCATAAACCTTTCCTAGGCTAGGAAGCCTGGAGCCTGCTATCTGCTTGAGTATTGGGAAGGAAAGGTAAAAATAGAGGAAGAAAAATTATGAGTGCATATCTTAGAATATTTTTTTCTCTGCATATATTTGTTGACTGAATCATTGAATATCTTTATTTGTATGTGTATGGCATATCGTCACTTTAGTGAAAATTCTTTTAACTGTTGATTTTTTTCCACATGCAAAAGAATGAAGTTGGGCCTCTTCTCCAAACCATATACAAAACTCAACTCAAAATGGATCATAAACCTAAGAGTTAGCGTTAAAACAATACATA